TCTACACTTGAAACTCTACAGTGGAACACCTCCAGTGCTGTAAGTGTGCAAATGTATATTTAGCTACACTGAAGCGCTGTTAACATTAGCTTTATTAATATTACCTATGCCCATGGGAGGGGTTTTCCTGTTGGCACAGGTATTCCACCTCCCTGAAAGGTAGATACTTCCATGAACCTAGCACTATCCTCAAGGGACTTCAGCTTAAAACATTGCTGAGGGATGTGAGCAAGGCAGCTGGGTTGATCTAATTTTCTAGTGTAAATGAACCCTTCGTTGGCTGTGGTAAATGAAGGCAGTTTCTGTAGGATTATGAAATCACTCAGTTGATCTATTTATTCTTGTCTTCCATTTCTGTTACGTAAAATACTCAGATTTCAGAGTAGCAGCCGTGTTAGTCTGTATCCGCAAAAAGAAAAAAATACTCAGGGTAATACAGTTAATCAAATACTATGTATTCTCTATTTCAAAGAAGTCTGAATTAAGTTTTTATTTGAGAGTTAAAGAAATAGTTCATAAATATTTAAAACTATTTCTAATTTCTTGCAGTGAGTTTACAAGAGTTCTGTATATTCTTTGCAGTTCTAGCAAAGCTCAAAAACAGAAAATACAGTTTAAAATCTCTGAATCATGTATTTGTAATGAGATAAGTTACTTCCTTAAAATAAAAATTAACCATCCCTTTGCATTTTATATAGATTACATCATAATACAACTAAACCAAATTTCTTGCACGGTATTTTCTCTGCACTGATGTAACATGGATTGCTTGGTTTTGTTTTTTTAAAAACCCTTCAGATTAGAAGTGAGCAGAAGATTAAAAAGTTTAAAAAAAAAAAGTCTGCAGAGCCATGGAGAACCAAATTCTGTAAGTGCTATTGCAGGTTTGGAACAAAAAGCACTCACAGTAACAACCAATTAGATTGTAAACTGGAGAACCAAAACAAGGAATTTGTAGCCAGAACATGTTCAAAATGTATTTTGTTACACATGTCCAGCATTGCTTGTCCTATGTTCTTTTTTAAAAAGGAGTAAAATGTGACCTGGCTAAAAGCATTTTTACACACTATGGGGGCAAGTAGGGAAATGGGGCTTCAATCCCTTTAAGATTTGTAACGTTATAAAAAATGTCTAGCTGTTCAAGGAACACTAAAGGGTTAAAGGGTATCCAAGTTTAAAAAAAAAAGAATCAAGGAAAATTCCACTAAAAATGTCCATAAAGAGGATGTGAGAAAATACATTGTAGATCTACTGCATGCACATACTCTCTCTCGCACACTGGAATGAATGCTGTGCATGCAAACGCTGTTTTCCCTGCTGGCTGAGCAGGCAATCGCTCTCTTGCCAAGAGTGGGGGAGGCTCTGAAAAGCAAGCTTATGCTGACATCACTAGAAGGCAGAGCTCTGTGTTGACTGTCCTGTTACCAAGTGAGCTAACAGCCAATCAGATTCCACAGCAAAAACAAGATGGCCTTTGAACTCCCCACCAGCAACTTCCTGCTGTTTTCAGAGTACACACAGTGCAATGCAGCATGTCTGTCAGCTATGCGGCACAAAGGAACAGCCATTTTGTGACTGAACTGGACCTGCACCAAAATGCCAGGCGTTTAATCATTTTTCCTTCCTTCCAAGAGTGGCTAGTTTCCTTTTGAGCATTAACAAGACAAGAAATACTAATGGCTGATGAAACCAGATAGAGGTGTTAATTTTTGTTTCACTTTATTTTCCCCAGATAAAATCCTCTTTTATATGAAACTACTTCTTCATAAAATGGCTGCCACAAACTGAATGTGTTCTGTTCTACAAAGTCTGCTGCACTCTGCAGTTCAGTTCTACAAAAGCAGCCGTTTGCCAAGAGGACAACAGATTACAGATCTAAAACTTCAAAGCTCTCAATGGAAAACAGGTCTAAATCCATTCACACAGAACTAATATTTCCAAATTGTATTTTATAACACGAAGCGCAAGTTGGAAGCAAATACAACTGTCTGTACTGCTTCTGCATTTCTTATGTAATAAAAATACAAGCCATGTCCATTTCATTATGGTTAGGGATGCGACAAGGTAACTGCAATGAAGAAATTCCAAGGAATTTAAGCAGAAGTTGGATCTATATGGTGTGTCCTTATCTTAAGTTATTTATACTACTGTTGGCAATCCTGTACAATTCCTAGATTTATTTTATCTTAATTTGTATTTCAGATACCAGTATTTGTGAAGTTAACGTTGTATTCAAAATTTATTGTGCAACTGCTCCTCTTCACATCATCTGCCTTTTTAAATAAAATGCATTAGAAAAGGCAGAAGATGCAAGAAAAAATATTTTTAAAGAAAGGTTACTGCCAACATTTTGTTCCATTGTTTAAAATTTTGAGTTATGGACAACATCCCAGCTTTCATCCTGGGTGAAGCAAGTTAAATCAAGTGAGTGATCTTAACAGTGAAGTTGGAAAGCTTGACAATTGGGTTACTGTCTGTATCCTGAAATACAGGAAGAGGAGGTGTTGCTATTCATCCAAAAGGTCCCAAGAAAGGCCTTCATCTGTGCAGACTCTACTAAACTTTTTGTAAGAGTTAAACTAACATCATTTCCCCTCAGGAATAATTTCTGTTTCAAGTCAACTCTCAGAGGAGTTTGTGTTTGTTCAGATAAGGTTTTTTTTTCCCCCCTCTCCTTTCCTAGGGCTGGAAATTCAGGAATCTCAATTCCAGTCATATTCCCTAGTCATTATACTAATACTCTCTACCAAATACATACATTGTTTCCCATCTGTATTTTTGCTTCTCATAACCTCAGATCAGTGGCACCAGTCACTCATATCCACCTTACCCTTCCATTTTCATTACTGTAGCCTCCAATCAAGGCATGATTATGTAATATGACTTCACACATTACCTAATGCTTCTAAGCTAGTCCAACAAAATTGTGAGAGGGGAGTCAAGTCACAGAAGCATGATCTGTGCAGACATCAATGTGTTTCAGGGTTACAGTAAAACAAGCTGAAGGCTTTACTTCCTAGAAATCATTTCCCCCATATCTTAAAGTCAACCTTAGAAGGCAAAGTATTTTAGACATTCAGCTGACTCAGCTCAGAAAATAAGGCTCATTTATAAATATGCTCTGTTCAATTGCTCCCACACTCCAGGTGAGTAGATATTACCAGCACTAAGTTTATTCTGGTGAAGTATGGGAAAGGGGGGAGAAAAATGTTAAGCATTTTACTTTTTATTTAATACAACAGGTGAAACATATGGCTCAATCAATGATGCTAGACACATGATCTTTGCTACAAAAGAGCAAAATTACACATATGATGCTATGCAAATATTATACCCTTGGGTCAGAAAAAAATAAAATCAAAGGTTGTGTGTCTGTGTGATCCCAATTATTCACTCATTATACCCAGTTATTAGACTTCATTTTACTTGGCATAATGTTCCTACACTCCTAAAATATATTTATTCTGATTGCTGTTGTTGCTACTGATCATCCACATTTTTCAGTGACATTTAGATTAAAAAGCAAACCAACTTTTCTTAAAGTCAGGATTTTTGCAGCTGCACTTACAAACATAATTACAACCTTATAATTAAGGTTGAAAATATCTCAAACATTTTAAAAAATACAACTCCTTGTATATACTGTGTGTATGATTTGAGGGTTTTTTTAAACCAATTTAACAATGCCCATTTTAAATCAAATAAATGTACCTATTTCCATTTTAACACCTTTTATTACACTGCAATTTAAAAACATTCCTGATTAGCATGCAAAATTAAGTTTTAAAAGGTTATAACAAAATAACGTGGTCACGAATGTGTTTCTACCACAAATATTTCAAGTTCATATCATGTTCAAGAATAGGTTAAATATTACTGGACAAAGAATCTTATTCATACATTTGATAAACTTACATAGTGCACATGTTGATACCAAAGAGTTTTAGAATTCTTTTTATTGACAATTACTTAAAAGATACTCAAGGAAAAATGAACAGGTCACGATTTAATAAAAGTTAACATAAATAGGCAAAATGCAATGTATTGACAAACACTGAAGAGCAATGCAAAGTTTTTAGACTTCAATGTTAGATTAAGCCAACATATTGTTTAAGATACAATGTTAAAAGCTAAATGAAGAACAAAACAAAGGACTTAATGTTGTTGTAAGTCTATCAAATGTTAGCAGTATTTTCAACATTTTGTACTCTTCTTCAAATCAAAGTTAAATTTATAGAGTAGTTGAAAAGAATATCATTACTTGACATAAAAGTAAACACACATTCTGAGCAAAAATATACAAAACAAGCAATCAAAGGACACCAAGGTTCCCATTAACAATCCTAGTTTAGATTTTATAAACATGAAATACTATCACCACCAGGGGAAAGTTTGGTTAAATTGTATCAAAATACCTAAAATACCTAAACAGTATCAAAGTTCCGTAAGCCCAAATAAAATATAAAGTAAGGAGCATCAATCAAACAGGCACTTTTTAGTTTATATTTTAAAATGAACTTTTTTTCATTCATGTAAGTTTCTCTAGTGTCTATTTACTATAATTTACTACTACTAGGCTTCTGTATGGCCCTCAGTTAAAGTTTAGACTTCTGAGATTCTTCAAAGAAAAATTTGCCTTGTATGTAAAATGGTGCAATGCAGCAATGGCTAAACCGACAAGGTCGTTTTTCACAGAACAAAAAACCTAAAAACTGAAATTCAGAAACTGAAAAAGCATAACAGAGAAAGGGGCTCCCTTGAATAAAGGTACATTACCTTTTGACTCTGACATGGGCCCTTAAGTCACAACACAACTTTCAGAAATTGCTACCAAAAAAAATTAGGGTGTGGCATATTAACAATCTCAAGGTCATTCCTTAAAAAAGGAATCAAAATCAGTTAAATGTTTTGTATTAAGTATGGGCAGTAAACCAAAGCTGTCAAGGTAAACACTGTATTCAGAGGTTTTTAAAAAATAAAATAAAGTTGATAGATCATACCTCGATGCATTGCTGTGTACTGAACCCTCCTCTCCTTGGCTTTTGTCCTCATTTCTCATCATCTTTTAATTCTTAAATATTAAAGGGGGGTATCTGTGTTTGCTTTGATGTCCTGTGCCCAGGTATTTACTGTCAAAAGTTGAAAGAAAGGTAAGGTCCCAGTTTGTTTCATTGGCTTTCGTTATCAAGAACAAAGTCCTGACGCTGTAATGATAGTTATAACAATACACAACACTGATCAACACAGGAAAACGGACATTTAAAACAATAATATTCATTTTAAAAAGAAAAAAATTGGAAGAGAAACAACCCAGAGCAGCATCCTGCAAACTTTCCCAAAGTAACAGAGGAAGCAAAAATCTCTGTATTTTATTGCGTCATTCCCAATACAGCTCAAATCGGTCGAAAAGTCAAAGTACTCAAAAACGGCAGAAATCTGAAAAATAATAATATTGATTGCCCACCTACCTGATCCATGCACCACCGCCAGGACCAAGCCGATATTAGTTTCGGGTAGTGGAAAAACATCAGATGCAAAATATTTGGAGGTAAAACGACAACGATATATTTTTAGATAATAAAAAATAAATAGATTCTAATCCCCAAAAATATACTGCTGTGAAAGCAAAAGCAGCGATAATTAGTACAAAAAATGTCCGGGGGAAAAGCTCATTAGGAGAGCGCACAAAAATGGAGGTACGCCATGGCTTCTAAGCTGGAAAAACAACGACCTGGGCTCTCTCCACGGCTTCTTCTTTCCAGCAAGGCACGAAAAGAGAGCCTCCAAAAGCTGCTTTTCTGCCCGAAAAAGGCTCAGTTAGCCCCCGATTCGTGCCTAGAACAGGTAAGGGGCTCTGGGGGCCCCCTGAGGCTGCCCAAAAGTTAGGGAAAGTTGCGTAAAGTGTTGGGAAGGCACGGAGCTCAGCGCGCTCTCTCTAAGGCACAGCCGCCATCTAGAGCTCCTTCCCAGCTCTGAGCTCTGCCTTTGATTGACACTCTCTACATTTACCCCACAACTCAGGTGATGTACCATAGACCCACCCCTTCATTTCTACCAAAAAAAAGAGATAGCCTCTACCTAAAGGGTGCCTGCCACCCCCCACATCCTTGGCTTCTTCAAACCACCCCATCTGAGGGGGCACCTTAACCCCATCTGGCTCAGACACCCTTTTCAAGCCAGAAAGAAATGTAATTTGTTTCTTTTGTTTTAAAGATTTGCTAAATATTTCAGTCCATGGGCTAAAATTACTTCCTCCCTGGACAGGAAGTGGTGCTGTAACAAGCCATTTTGAAAGAATGGAAGAGGGACTAATAGCCAGATTTGAGCAACAGCCCTCCTTGGAAGTCAACCCCACCCAATGGGTAGCAATTTTTTTTTTAATTCAATCAAAAAAAAATCTTCAATCAATAATCCTTTCCCTTGTCACTCAATACCTATAATTTAAGATTGAAAAATGGAAAGTCACTACACCCTAAAGAAAGCAGTTTGACAGTAACCCTTTCAACTCAACAGCGCCTCCCTAGTGGTTCTTGAGAAGAGCAAAATTAAATAGCTATGTTATTTTAATTCATTAACCGAAGAGACTATTGCAAAAAAAAAATATAGCACCAGGTTGAGTATTGCCCATTTCTTAACCCATTAGTGTTTATAATAGATCTTAACATCCTAAAGTGGACTTTTTACAGTAATATAGAATTCAAGGTCCAGAATTAGTTATTCATTACAAGCCAAGTAAAATCTCAACTACTATGTCCTGGTAGAGAAAACACCACTCATTGAGGAATTGGAAGGGATCTAAGCACAAGAGATGCCCATATGCCCACGACTCCTCCCCCAACAAGCAAAACTGATAACCAACTAGAAGCATCATCTAAGCTTTTCACACATTTATTATCCATTTTACAAGATATTGGCATCAGGCATCAGTGTTCAGATTTTTTGGTAATGTTTTGATTGGGGCTTTATACTAAGTGCATCAAAAATGGTACACTATCCCAACCAATGGCCAATAGCAAGTTCAACCAATAAAACCCAAGTTATTTTCTTTCAGCTCCTCCATATCCTTCCCATTCTTGCCCTCAGTCAATCCACCCTGTCTCTTCAATGCAGTAAAATGAGGGTTGTGTAAATTTGATGTGCTATACCAAAATAGTGCAATATTGACTGGTGAGTGATTATATAAATATAGAAGAAAGCTAGTGACCCTCTGCGCACACAGCAAATTAAAAAAATAAATTACAATGTAAAAAGAGCACTAATTCCAAACTGAACTTTAACAGTACAAAGAAAATCTATTAATTTGAATACTCAGTCTTTTTTAGACAGTCTAATACTCAACCGCACCATATAATAAATGGCAGAAACAAGACTGGCTAGGTAAGTGTGTACATTCAACACTGCACGATTAAAGAGTTATGAACAGCCATTATCATATGTTAAGAATGAAGATTTCCAACAATTTATCTCAATGAATGACAGCTGAACATCTCTCATGCTAAATCTCCAAATGAGAAATATTGTAGATCCCTTTTGTCCAGATTACCTCAATTAACACCAGGTCTGTCCTGGTATTCAAATTTGAGGAGAAAAGTTGGGCCACCTGTTCAAGATGAAATTTAAGTATAAAATTGTTTCTCTGTAGCCAACGGTTGACCAATAACATACATTTCTTGTAAGTGGCAACGTGATTTTTGAACAATAACTGACTTTTAAAAATACTACTTCACACAGGTTAACTTTGGTGTTTTTTATCTAGTAACAAGATCAAATAACTCCACTTAACACTTATTTGTAAGGAATTATTAAGTCAACAAGAAATTCACAGTATACAGGATGGCCATGAACTGTATTGGACACTTGCACAGACTAATTCTAATCCATTTTAAATAAATTGGTTTAAACACTCATTAAGCCAAGGTACTCAACTCCACAGAAGTAAAAAAATTTAGAATGGTATAGGGTTTTTTGTTTGTTTGTTTGTTTTTAAATCAATCCAAAATGTAACAGAAGTTTCCAACACAAAGCACATGAAATTTAGCAAAGAAGTTGTTCAGGCAACTCATTTGAAGTTCACTATAAAGGTTTTGTATACACACCCTTCCACACAAACAACAAAAACAAAGATAGTTCAGGATGACCCTTCACTGCAAACCAGTGACCATGCATTTTATTGCCTAGTTTGCCAATATATTTGAAATTTGTACCATCCTATGATAGCTTCACAAAGTTTAACAAAAGGACTTTGACAACTGACCAAGTACTGAACAAAATAAAAAAATTTAACATTTTAACTCCATGGATAACTAAAAATAAAATATTGGACATTGAGACAAAATGAGGAGTCTTTGAAACCAAATATAGCCATATTTCAAATGAAGTGTTTCATAAAGCTTACAAAGCCCTCAGTATTTACCAGCTTTAAAAAAATATTTCTCATTTTCAGAGTCCAGTGATCAAAGAAATTTAATGCACCTAAACATCAATACATTCCAAGTATTTTTCAGCCAGGAAAAAGACAAACCAAGAATAGAGTGTAAAAAAACATTTATTAAATACGTCACTTAAAAATAGCATAATAATACATTTGGCCCAAATAGGTAGTAATAGACCTGATATCAACTTCATTCCCCTCTTAAGTATACATTTCTTGGAGTACAAAAATTTTGCCACCCATCCCTCAAAAACAGATCCATTTTCTGTACACTTGTACAACACCCTTCAGAAATTCAAGTCCATTTTGGTAGGATGATCACAAACCCAAATCTTCTCTGGTTTAGTAACACTGAAGTCCATGTTAAAGTGTCCCTGTCTTGGATGGATATATCACAGCACTCATTCATTAGTCCATTTCCTCAACCTCTCAATCAACAGTGGAACTGCCATCTTGGTTTCCCATTCGTAGACTCCATTTGACACTCTTCATCTGACTTGACTCTTTATAAAAAAATTAAAAGAAAAATGCTGTTGGAATATAGATAATTTATCCTTAAACTAAACAGACAACATTCAACTATGTACCTTGAAGGCATTTTAAACATGAATTTTAGAACTAAGGCTTCATGAATTTGATTGAATATAAATTATACATGCCAGAACACCTGCTTTTTTCACCAACTAACATGGGAAGCATGACATGTAACAGTTTCCAAAAATACAAATAAATACTACAGGGAAAAGTAAGAGTTCAAGAAACCTTTTGAGCATAATGAACTCAGTACTAAAATTTTGCATAGGGAACTATTAAATACAATACAGAGAGATACTTTCAAACACAGAGGGATTTTACCTCTGGTGACAAACTTTACTGGATTGACCTATCCACTAAAGTTAATGTAAAACACAAGTACTTCTAGCCAAACAGTAATGGTCTCAAATCAAGTTGAAACTAAGCTTAATTTTTTGCTACTAGATGAAGTTTTCAACGATGTCCCTCTCTCTGCTTAAAACACACAAGTAATCAAACATAATAATGCCAAAGGTATGAAAGCTAAGTTACTATATGAAGGTGTTGATTGGAGTCAATAGAAATTCCTAAAGTTGTGCCATCTTGGCTCTAGTCTTCTAGCCTAGAAAGAGAAACACCTATGGTGATGGTCATTTTAAAGAGACCAAATATCAGAAAATAGACGGAATGGTCATTTCAGGAGCTACTGGATGAGCAAATGTGTCAAAATCAGATGGAAATTATGCAAATTACACTGCTTTGTCTCACTGCTTTCAACACAACCAGCATAATGTCTCTCCCCAATCATGCTTCCTCTGGCCATGTACTCAAAGTTGGCTCTTCATAAAGCCGCAACAGGGCTTAAGGCACCAGATCAGTGACAAAGTTAGAAATGTCCAGATGAAGCATTGTGGTGACTGCCATTAGAAGTGGGACATTTGGCCCAACAGATCAAGTTATCTTGCCTCTTGACTTCAAATTACATCATTGCTACTGAAACACAAACCAAATGTATTCCAAAGTCAAAAACTAATGTACTTTTTTAAACTGCTATTTGCACCCATATAAACATACACCTTAAGTACAGGAAACAACTAAATGGCAGAACAACAACAAAAACTCAAAAAGCCTACAAGCCAGCAACGAAGTGCTAAATGTAGGCAAAACCCTCTGAACTGTACAAGAAATGGTTTTCAATAATTGTTTCCTCAATAGTGAATTTGCATTCTATCTTTACATTTGTGACCTTTTATTTCCTTCTTTCGATTTATTCTTTTGAATGTGGCTTTTTAACTTAACACGCAGTTTAATTTTACAGCCAATTCTACCACTATTTGGTCCCCTTAAAAAAAAACGTCCAGGCATAATCTTTCCAGGTAAGAAAGGCTGCAAAAATTAATTACAAAAAAAAAAAGACAGTAGAACTGAGCGGCATCATCTAGTGTTTTGCCTCGTCATTCAAGTGCCACTATTCTCATTTCAAAACATCCTGTCAAACTATGTAAAATCTAACTATGAAGTCCTTATAGCAATCTGTTCCGGGTTAACGATTTGCCATTTACCATATTTCATATCCCAGTATTCCTATAGGGATGAACTGATTTTTCCTCCCATTTCAGATAGATGGAATACAGGAGCGGCTATTTCAATTCAACTTTTAGTTGCATCGTATAGGTGGTAAGTTGAGGGTAGGCAGAATATTCAAATCACAAGGTCTTCCGATCCTCAACCTCACATACCTCCAAGGTTTTTTTTTGGTTTTGTTATTGATTTGTTTTGTTTTTTAATTCAAGTGGTACTTCTTCTTTAGTGGGGGGTAGCAATTTTTAACTAATAGTCTCTAAACTGAAAAAAATTACTACAAATTTATTATGTATCATATATTGTACATACTAATTCAGATTTAAACCAATTTAAGCACTTGGAGATTAGTCCATGTTTCAAAATATTTTTAGGAACTAATGAAATCTGATTAAGGCACCAAAATATGACATAACCACACTGTCAAATCTGGTCAGTGAGACAATATCCTTTATTGGACCATCTTCTGGTCCAATAAAACCCGCCTTCTCTCTCTCTAATACCCTGAGA